GAATAAATATAATATCTCCTCAGAAAAAGAACGTATTACAAACATATTAATAATGATTTGCTCATGTAGAATTATATTTTTATTCAACAAAATTTGATTCAAATGCTAGATGTTTTACTCTTTTGATGTTCATAAACTGATCGTTAATAAAACAGGAGAATAATTTACAACATGATTTTATTATAGATTGTATTCACATATATGTATAGGAGACATGATAGTGTCTCGGGTGTCAAATGTGTTTATATGTTTATGCATGCTTTTTTTACAATCAATATACAATAATATTTCTGTTTATATTACAGTCAATCATATGAATAATTATATTATCTATCTGTTTATTTAAGTTATTCACTTAATGCAAATCTCGAAAATGATCCGATACTGGTCACAATGAAAAATCGAAAATGACATCATTCTTTCATTCATGAAACAGAATGTGTCGCACATTAGGCATCGCATATTAGGTATCGTTAATATTTATTAAATGTGTTTTGGAATATACAATGTTTGAATATTTATATGTTATAAATCATTTATAACACAATAAAAATTCTCTATTTTGTTCCCTTATAAACTAGAATTTTTCTTTTACATTGTTTTCCCACGCTATTTTGCTCCTATTCGCTATCATTATATATGTTAAATAAGCCAAACAACATACAAGTCTTAATTTTTCATAGATTCATAGAAATTAATCATCAATCAGTATAATTAATTTTGCATATTGTTCGTAATTCATTTACACATACGAATTAAGACGAACTGATTGATTTTTAATAATTTGCACCTTTTGATTTCATTAAACAACATCCACACATAAGTCAGATAAATAACGTAAATCAGGTAAACAATAAGTGCGAACTCAACGAATTTGCATCTATTCACATTAGTCATGAATCTCTTATGAACAAGAAATATAAATCATATATACTCTGATTTTCATTTTTTACATGTTCGCCATTAGAACGAAAAGGAGAAAAGGGGAGGGAAGACGGGAGAATTTTAAAAGAAATACCAGAGTAGAGAAGTATTTTGAGCCTGATGATTTTTAAATAGGATTTCATTATAGAAAAATAGTCATTAACTAGCCAGCGTTATTAGTATCCAGTATGTTGATTTTGATTATGGTAATTTAACAATTAATGTTATTTCACCAACCTAAAGTTATTTTACCAACTTATAGTTCATAATATTATTGCAATACAGAAATATTTATACAAGAAACATAATATTCTACATGATTGAAGAAAAAATAATTTCTAAAAGACATTATACAATAATATTTATAATTTTCTTTTGCTAGATATTTAAGCAATATGTATATAGCAATATATAGCAATATATATATATATATATATATACATATACATATACATACAAACTTAATTATATATAAACCTAATATATAAATTATCTAAACTGTATAATTTCCCGGCCGACATGATGAATGAGAATTGAAAGATGCAACAATATATATAATCTGTAGATTATTTTTCTATAAATCTACATTATTTAAATTGGCTGCAGATCCTGTTGGTAAATCTGGTGGCACAAACTTACCAATAGGTTGTATTGCTTCGCGTTGTTCAGCCAGTTTTCGCATTTCTTGTCTTAGTTTACCTAATATAGCATGATTTGGTTGATTAACGGCAGCTTTACCCTGCAAAAGGGTTATCTCCTGTTCCAATTGTTTCTTTTCTTTAAAAGACTTCACACTTCGCGATCCATAAAGGCGCAGTAAAGAACCCCAAGATTGTATGTGTGGATGCATAAGTTGTAGTATTGATTGTGCTGCTCGTTGTTTACCATCTTTTTTGTTACGACAAACCTGCAATTATTTAACTGAGATTAATTTTTACTATTGGGAGTACTTGACAGTTCAATATTGGAGTAGTCGCCTGTTAAATACAAAAAATTTAAATTTAATCTTCACTTCACATACGTGACATTAAGAATTCAGAGTGCAAAATTAAATCGCTCTGATAGAAACAAAGTTTGTGGGACATGAATTTAACCTTAAAATAACTAGACAAATCATAGTGTATCGTTGTAGTGTATCGTTCCTTGGAAGATAGCTTTTAAATAATAAACAATGAATAATTTTAAAAATAAAGCTGCTCCTTTAAAGTGGTGGTTAAATTAGAGATTAATAATCCTTTCCACAACAATTGTAATTAGATTTAACATTAATAATTTTAGTTATACATAAATATAACACATCACACTTACAACAGTGGCTTCATGTTTTCCAACCTTCATGGTAAATTCATTTCGTTGGTGTTTCAAGGTATTTACTGAATAATCAATGTGCATATCCCCTAAGCCATAATTTCTTTGAAGACATGTTATTAAAATAGCATGCGGAGAGGGTTCAGTGGTTTTTGAGCAAAATTCCGCTACACGTGGATCCGTGATGGATATTTCATCGAAGAATGAAAGATCAGCATCGGAATTTCCTCTAGACGCTTTAATTGTACGACTGTCATTATTCGATCCATTATCCCCACCATTTTCGCCGGAAATTTTATCCTTCATTTGAGGAATCAGAATTTCAAGTGTTTTCCGGGCTGCATTAGCCTTCGCTTGCTTCTTGCTGCTCCCAAATCCACTTCCGTATTCCATATCATTGATACAAACTACTGCAGAATACGGTGTTGCTGCGTTTTCTATAATTAAACACGTTAATTCCATTTCAGCAATAAAAGTAGTTGTCTTACACGATGTCTTACAATTTCTTATAATAACAATGAATTTTAAGAATACATTTCAATTGATCACAACATCTGTGAGCATTATTTGTCTTCATTTAATATTTGATGAATAACAAGAGTGAAATAATTCTAAGAGCATTGCACCAAATGAAATGCTTCTCAAAAAATATATCAAATAATACGATTACCTAATTCTTTAAATTTATACGTTGGTTGCTTCTTTAACGCGTGTTGCACATATTCATGAAGAATACAAACATAACTTTTGCCTGATGGATTCATTATCCAGTGTCTGGCAGGTCTCTGGCTATTATCGTCGGCAACATTCCAACTGCCACTTCCACTAGAACTGCTAACAGGAAAAGTTATCAGTTTTGTACCGTCTGGTAAAGTTGGACGTTCAAGTTGTTTACGATTCTTTTTGATCTTCGTGAATTTCCGACGTGCTGACCAAGATCTGCGAAATAGTTGGCAAATATAAAACAAATCTTCCTAATGATGTAATCAATCTCATTTTCAAATACTTACTGAAATCTCATTACTTTAATAGATTTAAAACGAAATAAAGATTGACAATAATTTCTTAATTGCTCGCCATCTAATGAATGTGCCGCGCGATTCTCTTGTATGGTCTCAATTTTTGCGCTAGGAAGACTGCAAGCTTCCGCGTTTGGTGTCCGTTCCATCTCCTTCTTTCGCTCTTCCTCCTCCTCTGCTAACGCTCTTTTATACTGAAGACAAGGTATGGCGCTTACAGGAACTTCATGCTTCCTAACACTTCCCGGACCAAGAAAGTATGGCTTTGCTAGTGTACAAACTCTACTTTGTTTATGAAGATACAATGGCATTCCACTATTGTGCGTCACTTGCACCCATCCTTCAGGAAGAACGTCAAAATGATTATGTCCAATTTCTGAAAGAAGAATAAAAGAACAAGATAAATACTATATACTTGTACATAACATCATGTGATACTCTATATCTACATACCATCTAAAACAAGTTTCTCCCTTTCTTCATAAGGCAAGCGATCCTTTCTTTCTCTTTTCTTTCTTTTAAATTCTTCTGGTAGACCTAATACATTAAACATAATTAAGATAAGAATTTAAAAATTTTATATTCTATTCTAGAAGGTGATAAACCAAATAATCTTATTTATTTTCTTACTCCGTTTGCTGCAGAAAATTTATTTAACAGAACAAAATTATAACAGACAACTCGTATAAATTAACAAAAGGAAAAAGAGGCCGATGAACGAAGTGACATGACAAAAACAAAATCGAACAAAATTTATTGTAAAAACGAAAATTAGCAGAGTCACCTTCAATATAAGTTTGATATTGTACGTTTCGACTTTACGGAATCAATAATTTTTCTTAACAAAGGTGATAAAAACGAAACGAAAATATATAGGAACTAGCTTGGTGAAAATTATATAATGCGACATATTTAAGTTCAAGTGCAAACAGATAAAAAATTATAAAATTGTGAATATAAAAAAAATTTTTTTAAGAGTGAAATTAAAAATCAACAGTCCAACGCCACATAATATTCATAACATTCTTTACATATTTTATTTCATCAGATAAATTTAATAATTTTATATATAAAAATAATGTAACATGATTCGTTTATGCTTTACACAATAATATGATGAGTAATATAAATAATTAAAAGCAACAAGCAGATAAATATTTTCATTGTATTAATATATGTCAAACTTTTATAATTTTTTTACAAAAATAAATAAAAATTCTTTTATCTTTTTTAAATATATGGTTATCCTATATATAAAAATTGTATAGATTTGTGTAAGACCGATATACCTTCTTCTAGCATGGCTTCAATTTCTTCGTCTGGCACATCAGAATCTCTACTCTCATCTGTTTCTGACTCATCATCGGAACCGTTATTTTGCTCTGGATGGCGATCTAGATCATCTAGCACATCAAACTGTCGTAAATCATCAGTGGTATTCATTTCCATATCATGTTTTGTATCTTCCTGGCATAAGCCATTGCATAATATATTTTTATTGTCAAGGCACATATTCTCTTCATCTGTAATATCATTGCTGTGGCTATTGTCAGATGTGCCAGTTGATCTCTCATCATGATCTATTTTTATTGACCTTGTACATAATGTTTCCCAATCGTCATTCTCATGCTGCATATTGGAAGCTTCTCTTCTTAAATCTGATTGATCCAAGATGTTTCGACTTTGATTGCTTGTGCTATCTTTTGTAACTTCCATAACTGTCTGTTCTATGTTAACTTCCACCTTGTATGTGTGTATCACGAAGTGTCTGTTAAAATACTACAAAAATGCCAACAATAAAGCTCAGATGTACAGCTGATAGAATCGACAAGTATTATACAAATAACAGCAGAATAATTTCTATATCTCATATGCGTAAATGGTCTTTTATCATATTCGCAAAAGATTATAGAATGTTGACCTCTCATAATTGTATATATACATTGTACAGACAGTTAATCATATGCAAATTAACAATAAATATATCTAATAATAGGAAATCCAGTAAACTTAAATCCAAGGTCCATACAAAAGAATCCGTGGATTACTATGTATTAAGCGCGTTGTATGGCCACACCACTTTCACCAATGAGGCCAAAGTCCAATCAGTTTGACACCACAAATGGCAATGAAAATTGGACATTTGCATTAGTGTTAGCAGTCTGGGGCCTATTACGTATCCTCATGAGAGTACAACTGTACGAGCGAGCCGTTACTTTTTAACTCGGATATTGTAGATGGCTGTGAGAGAAATCCATCGTATTATTTAAACTCCATATCTAGACAGGAACAACATTGAGAGATTGAGGCTGTTACTAGCTGGAGTTCATTTACGACGATTCTAGCTGAACAACTGTACACTCGAGACAAACCTCTCAAGCCACATGCTTGAGAATTATCGTCTGTATTCTGTGTCGACTACAAGCAGGAATACACGTCAATAAAGAGTCTATTCTTTAGAGCTGAATTAGTGTATACTTAGTATATTATTTAAAATGAAATATGTTTGAACGTTGACAAAAACGAAAAAGAAAAGTTCCAGGATCCACTGTAGCGATAAAGAACAGGCTTTTATAATCGGACTTTAAACGTGTAACGTATATGAAGAATCGTGTCGATTGTATTTTTCCTGCGTGCAGTGATGTAATGTAAATTGTAAATTTCCTAACAACTATATTAACATGATACGAATAATGATTAGCGCAGCCGGTTTGTAAATACAATGCAATCGCAATTGTGTTACATTTAATTTCCGAAAAGAAGGGACTTCCACTTCACTCCACCTCACTCACAACGCCATGTTAAAGAACACTCAACGCCATAATGGCTTCATCTCGATTTAAGCCCAAGGTATACAAAAAGTGTAAACAAAAAGTAAATAAATGATCTGTTTTTTTAACTAAACTAGTGTATACTCATTGTACTTGAAATGAAATAGAATATATATATATATATACATATTTGAAATTTGACAAAAGTGAGCTAGAAAGTTTTGCACCTTGTACAGGAATAAAAAACAAACCTGAATAAGCGAATTAACCAATCATAGTTGAGAATCATAAAAAGAAAAAAATTAATTCTTAACTGTGATTGGTTGATTTGTTTAAGGGCTTTACACGTAACAAATTTTTAATAGTGGGAAAATTGTGTGAGAAAATTGATCAATTTCAATTGATTATTCTTCTTGTTAGTTTTCTTACGAAGTTACAGCTATGATTAAAAATTTGTTACATCCAAAAACTTTTACAATTTTTGTACGTATTAAAACCATTATAAAAAGAGTACAATTTTTATGTGCACCATACAAATTTTTTTAAAGATAAGTGGCTAGAATAATTCTAAGTCCCTAGAAATTCTCTATTTCGTAACCAATCAATACGCTCAAAAAATGTATAAACAAATATTAACCTAACCTTACGTACGTTTTCATTCCTCGTGTCTACGGCCTACAGTTCATAATCCACGTGCACGATTCGGAAAGATCGAGAATACTCTCAAAATTCTGCAATTCTTGATCATAATTTTGAAACATGTCAGACGTATTTGACAGCAGCTCCTTTTCCGACAAAGACAACAAAGGAATCGATCCCGAATTGGCGGAGCTTTTAATGGTTGAGAAGCAGAAGGCACAATTTAATGCACAGGTGAAACATTTTAAGATTAATTTTTATGTGTATCAAATTGTTGTAATTGTTTTCCAAAATTGTCTCAATGTTAAAATCTGCAAATATAGTTTTTGAGAAATGTTTATGTACACGTGCGCACGTTTGAAAAAAAATATATATTAATAAGGTTTGTAAATTTATGCTTAGATTCACGAGTTCAACGATTTTTGTTGGGATAAGTGCGTCGATAAGCCAGGAAGTAAGTTGGACGGCCGCACGGAAACATGTATAAACAATTGCGTTGATAGATTCATAGATGTTTCACTCTTTGTTACAAATCGCTTTGCACAATTAATACAAAACTCTATAGGAAAATAAAATTTTTATACAGTATACCATTTGGATATACTATGTATACGAGTAAAATTGTATTGATAATAGCATAAGATTATCGTAAATATTAAATTTGACATCACAATTTGGCGTCACATTTATAATTTAATATTTGTGAATACAATTTGTGAATAAAATTATGTTATAACATTATATGTGAAAATCGATATCTTCTTCCATGTAACAAATCCAATAAGATATTCATTTTTATCACAAAAAATACTTAATTAAATTTATTTATAAATAAAAGTATGTGTGTATGTGTGTATGGTGTATGTGTGTGTGTATTCACTGTATATTGTATTGTGTAAGTAAAATAAAATGTTGTTTGCAGCAACACCATACATTATGAAAATTATTCTATACATATATGTGCACATGCAAGTATATAATAAAGAATTTTGATTATATTTAGAAAATCGAGTTATATACAACATAACATATTTATCAGATATATCAGATTTAACAGATTTATCAGATTAATATCAGAAGACTATAGGTCTCTGTGGAAGGCACATGTTGTAAAATGCATCTTTTTCCAAAAATCTTTCGTTTTCCATCCACACCAACCTTTATTTATTATGGTAGGCAAGTGATCCGCGCCAGTATAGTGCGGGTCGAGAATCAAGAATTTTCCCTCTCCAGAATCTTTGTCATAATTAATGCCAAGGATCGTATGAGCTAATACTCCTCCACCTGTCCGCAAGATATAAAAAAAACTACATAGAAAATATAATTATTTTTGTGTCTATAAATTTTATAAAAAATTCTAGATAATAATAATTCTGAAATACAACTTTGTGAAATAAGTTTGTTTTATTTTATTGTATGCACTTTTTAATGTTTTTTAATCATAAAAGAAAGATGCTTAATATTTGAATATTAATTTTAAATGAAATTAAAGCTTACCAATCATGACAGGTGTACCATGTGTATCAAAATGATTTGCAAGTTGTGGAATTAAGGCCGTCATTTCCTCTCCGCTTGACGCACGAAGTATCTTTGCATCTATATTAAGGAGAGTCTGTAATACAAAACTCACTTCAGTCGAACCAATCCATTGTTTACTGCCAATGAAGTTGTAAGGTTTATCGCCTATATCGACTAAACACTGTTGAATTTTGCGATGAGAAGGTATCGGTACTTCACTGTAACCCTGTAATCTGTAATATTGAATTATTATTTGTATGTATAATTTGATAATATAATCAACTTTTATTTGGTTTCATTAACCAGTGTCTTTATTTTAACTGATTACATTATGTTAAGATTTTTCAACAAATATAATATTGCAATGAGAAATAGTTTTATGTACCATATATGGATAATACTATTATAACTTTTCTTGTGTCAGTTAATTTTTAACTGTATTGTTTGATCTTTTATAAAAGTAAAAAAATATATAATATTTATATATTATATACATCTATAAATGCTATTTCGTGTTTTATCTCGCATGATTTGATCCTATAGAAACCGGTTAACAGGAAGTCGATTATATATAATACTTCAACATTGTAAGTATGATTTCTAATTATCTTCTTGTATCTTATTACCTGTACCAGGAAATAATAGTTTGGAGAGATCTATAGGCACATCCCCATCCATTATCATCGAAATTATCTTGCATATAATGATAATATGAATACAAACCATATACAATACTAAGTTTTCCCGTGACACCTGATTAAGATAAAATATTATATAATTGCATAATTTCAAAGTGCAAGGATTAAGAGCACAAATGTATACCTTTATGTAAAAGGGTTCGATGAGGATTTACAAGTATCTCATTTGATTGTGTATCAAGATTGATGGCGTTTCCACATCGGAATTGCGGTCTAGTCAAATCTAACGCTAAAGCCTTGTGTAAAGCCTTACGATATTCCACTGAAATTATATGGGTCTGTATAAAAGCAAATAGATGACACATATATTACTATGATTAAAAGTTTGATAATGTTAATTCTATATACACTATATTATGAATAAAAGATTCCATAATAATGAAAGGTATTGTACAATTGACAACAAATGTTATCAAGAAATGGATTCTTACATGTACTATCGTTAGTAAAATCGCCAGGATATACTAATGTAAATAAATGTCCACAGTCTTTAGGTTTAAAATGCATAACTTTGGGTAATTTTGTAGGCAACTTTGTGTCTTTGGACTGATTTTCCTGTTGTATTTCAATTAATTTGATATTTCGGCAAATGGATTCCACTAGAATCGCGTGTAATTCAGCTACTTTTATATTCAAATTTACTAGTGACAATGTATCAATGTGTAAGTTACATTCTAAACTATCGAAAGATTCTGCAACATAAAAGTAATACTAATGAGTAAAAAACATTATATAATTAATATATATCACATATATCTGTTACTTATAAATTATATGAAAAATCGCGATACTCACTTTTGATATGCTGTAGAACAGGAGCATATTTGATAGATTCATCAGAATTTTTCTCACTTGATATCTTCAATAACATGTTTGCTTGTATAACATTCTATGATAAAAAGAAAAAAATGTAAACATTTTTAAAATAAGAAAACGCCGTTTAAAATGGATGGCATTTGATTGTCCATGTTACCAATTGATCAATTAAACATTAGATCTTCTGACAGATAGCCCACTGGGAAATTTCTAAGCACTGAACATGTCCAATTGGCACATAGACAAATGAAATATTTGTGTTTAAAGCTGTGTAAGTTTTGATTGAAAATACTTACCACAGGTCCAGTAATAAAATTACTTGACTCAGTTGACAATTTCTCCTGATCTTTGGATGTAGATAAAATATCTTTTAATGTTGTATCCCTTGAACTGTCGTCGGTTCTAAAGAGGTATGTATTGTTCGAAGGAAAATGTATTCCTATTTTCCCAGATGCAATCTAGCAGTGCAAAATCGTATAATATACATGTGATACTAAGATTATATTATAAATGCGATCAAGCAGGGAACCTTACATTTTTTCGCGATTCTTCCAAAACTTCTGACATATTCCCATCTTGAGTAACTAATGGGAGAAATGCTTGTAATCTAATATATACAAAATGCTGAGAAAGATCATCTTCACTAATAATATTGAAATTATTGATAGCTTCCAGTTTCTGATGCACATAAAAGTATGCCTGCATATCCATTGTATCATGTGAATATTTTAAAAGTAATGGATTATCTGTGATGTCAATGTCCTATAAGTAAATAAATATGTTATCTCCCTAATTATCTTTTAAAAAACTTTTAAAAAATATATAAACAGTAAAACTTCAAAAGTAAATAAATCCATCAAGTTGAGAATTATTCAAAACATAAGATTATCATTTAAAAACTGTCTGTTATTGATCAATTTCTTTATTGCTTAAGTTTTTCTTATCTTTTTATGTGCAATTAGCCTGATCGATATGAAATATTTATACAAATTCATAAATGAGGCAATAAAGGTCTAACAAATGTAGAAGATATTTATAATTACCTTAAAAATATCGGGATTTATTTCCTCACATTCGCCAATATGTAATACGCCACAGAAATATATATCCGTAGGTAGATTCAGCTGCAGTATTGTATAATCTATCATATTCTTATCTTCCCTATCGCTTGAATTTAGACTGAATGATAGAACCATAAGGGTATCGTTGTACATAATACCATAAAGATAACCAGTTGTCATGGTCTTCATGGTTTCTATTCGCTAAAAGTATTATTCAAATATTAAATGTATTATTTATAAGAATCGTGTCAAATGATAAGAATTTAAAAAAACAAAGATATAAAGAATACGTCCGCAAAAATATGATAAGCAGAAATTCAATGTATATTCTCGAATTATTATCGAACATCTTCGTTTTCTGTTTACCTGCAGGATGTTTGATAAGATTTGCAATTGCGGTGTCATTGTATCGATTTCACCAACAATCGAAAATAAGATTCTATGCCGATCAGAAGTGTCTTGCGCTGCTAGCAGGAGCGATTACCATATGGAGATCACGAGAAATTGCAACTGAATTTTCAAACACGAGTAACTTAAACTGGGAGGTTAAATCCGTCCTTGCCAAAGCGCCAAAAAAACGCATAACAAATCTAAATTAAATGTTGTCAATTCAATTTTCAAGAACAAGGGAGAGGTTACATATTTCTTACATTTAAATCAGCATTTTTATTATTCTACGAAAATTCTGCTTGTCACAACGGCGTCCAAACGGTTAATCCAAGATTGGCTGCGTTCAGCAGAGAAATCGTTACATGCAAATATGATCTTAGAAACTACAGAAAAGTATTTCTTTTTTAATTATAAAAATGTTGAATTGTATATCGATAAAAGCAATTTGCAATAAAAAATATAAATATCGATGCTCGATGCATAAAATTAAAAATTCTTTTAAGCTTGAACATGATCATTTCCGGAATTAAAGGTATTACATTTATAGTGAATTCGATCATCCGCTATACTACGGTTGTGCGATATTCACTGCCAGTATTGAAAATATATAGTTCATGTGACATATACTATAGATCAGTCTACATGGGATTCTATCATTCTATTATTAGTAACTGTTCAGTTTAGTTCCCACTAGTCGCAATTTTTTGATGAAATTACATTTATTTAATGCGTTTTTGTACAAAATGGAAGAATCTGAGAAAAAGAATTGTCGCTATGTCCTGCGAAGCGAGATACTTTTCTTTCAGAATTGCGTTCTGAAACTAATGAGAAAAGAAGCACATTCCTTTCACAGATATCGCTAGTTGTCACTAGTGGCGCCACACGCGCGGTTGCAAGCAGCTTCGGGCATAGGGTTTCGTATGCGAGTCAAGATGCCTCATTCGCACGGGCCGTGCGTAGCAAAATGGCTGCCCGACTCGAGTGAGCGAGTGACGTTTCTCCGCAAGGTGTTTGCGTTCGCGATCCACGCTGCGCTGGTCCCCTCGCGCATGAATATACGCGGGTGCGATACGTGTCACAGCGGCTGTCACAGCGTGTCGTGCATCCCGCGTCTGCCTCGCCCACGCGGAAGGTGGCCGATCGCGCGGCCGCGCAGGTGAATGCGGCCGCGTTCCGCCCCGCAACGGCCTCAAGTCTCGCCGCAAACTCGCCGCATTTGGGTGCGTATCAACCGCATTTCCGTGTCCGCACGTCCGCGCGACGTGCGGCGCGTTCACGCGCGACGTCGGGACACGCGTCGTCGGCTCGTCCGCCGGCGATCCGCAATTTCGCGTTCCGCGACGTCCCGAGACCCGCGTGTGTGCGCGCGCGCGCACGCGTACGCACTACGCACGCGAGAGAGAAAGAGAGAGAGAGAGAGAGACAGAGACAGAGACAGAGACAGTGACAGTTTGGTTATACTCTGGATATAATTTTTTTTCCTGTCGCTTTCAATAGGCGGTATTTAAATGACAGATCTCGATTGACTCCCAACTTGCGTCTGTTTTCTCAATTAGAACGGCTGTTTCATTGATCATGCCGAGTCTTTCTCCGTCGTGATAACGTGAACAGAAATATGCCGGAATGATTGAGTTTTCTAGATTTGATGGGTGTTTCCTTCTTGGATTCGTATTATCGAGAATGTTTTTTTTATGTAATTGTTTCGACTGTGAAATTATGTTTAGATTCAAAATATTGATAAATATATTCATTAAGTAGAGATTAACAATTAGTATTTTTAATAAGCTTGTTTTCTCTCTCTCTCTCTCTCT